CCTCTTTCTCAATTCCTCAAGCTCCTCAAGGAGCGGTTCGCTGACCCAACGCGAGGCATTAGAGCCTCTGATAAGCTCCAAACGATCCACTCGCGGCAGTGGAGGAGTGCTAAGGCACTCAAGAGTACTATGGACGACTTGGTAGCCGTCCCTGACCACGGGGTCACCGAGTCCCAGTTGGTCAAGTTGTTTTATCGTGCCATCCCAGAGGCCCTACGCGGGCATWTCTTTGACAAGTCTCAGCAGGCCGACATCACATATGATCAATGGAGTAGGGAGGCCGTCCTGTATGAGTCAAAGTCTATGCCAGTTACCACTTTCTGGCATAAGGACCTGGAGAAGGGGAAGAAGTGGAAGAATTGTACTCTCTCAGGCCAAGTAAAGGCCAAGGATCACATGATCCTGACGTTAGAGGAAGGTGGTACTGATGAGGTCCCGTATGATCAGATTGAGTGGGGCCTCGAAGATGATGGCARTAGTGTGGGGCAGGGGAGGTCTTACGCTGCTGTCGCGGCCGGAGGGAGGCCGCAAGGTAGAGGAGGAGGCCAGGGCCAAAGGGGCCAGGCCATGGGAGGCCGAGGACCGGGCGCACAGGGGGTTGGCGGACAGGGAAACCGCCAAGCGGGAGGTAGGGGTCAAGGTCCCCCGTTAAATCGCCAGGGTAACCGGTCCCCACAACGAGGAGGTGGAAGGGCGCATCAAGGAGGATGGCACCCAGGCTTGCCGCAGGGCAGGCCCTGGGAAGAACTGGGCTTGGACCAGCGCTTATGGCAGCAACGCGTGAACATGGGTCAGTGCGTATTCTGTGGTGATCCGGCCCACATTATCTAATTTTGTCCAAAGTATAGACAGGCCCGTTGGGCTGCCCAGCAGTCAAAATGCAGCCGCCAGTAGGGGTCGCAACTGCCCCTACTTCAAGGCCATATGGAGAAGTGAGCGCGCGCGAACAGGACACTCCCAACCCACATGAGCTTATGACAGAGGTTGCAAGCCCGTGCCTAGATAGCTGTCCAAAGACTGCTCGTGTTAGCGTCCCTTTAGGCACGTCCCTCACAGGTGTGGCAGAAGAATTAAAGGAGAGGATGCCAGCCTGGGCCAAAATGAAGAAGGAGAGTAAAGGACAACTGATTTTGGTAGATGTAGAGGTGTTTAGGAGYAGGGTAGGGGCCCTTATAGACTCAGGGGCTACCCGTAGTTATATCAGCCGTAGGGCGCTGAAGAAGCTGAGGCTAGGACTAAAGGTCCAAAAGTTAATAGACCCTATAGTCAGTGTTCTCGCAGACAACCGCACAATGTGCATTGAGGACTACGTAGAGGGAGTCCAGGCGTACTTTCGCCTAGAGAAGGATGGGAAGGTGGAGAAAGTTCTCCATTCCCTGACTCTCCTCGTGCAAGATGACCTTCCTTTCGATGTAGTGTTAGGAATGGATTGGGGAGAGGCAGCAGGGGCCACACTCCAGTTGAGAGAGCATGAGTAAAGGCTCCCTAGTACGTCAGGCGAGGCTAAGACTGCCCGCTTGTTCCATGTGTCTGGTGTAGACAATACCTTGGCACATTGCTGTCTCAGTGTTCCCGCGTTCGCGCGATTAGTCAAAAAGGAGCAGTTAGAGGAACAAGTCTTTGTAGTTTATGTTAGACCTGTCACTGAGGCCCAGGAAAAGGATAGTTCCACAGATCCAACAATTGCAAAGCTGCTGGAAGAATTCAAAGACTTGACTGAGTCACTGAGAGTAGTAGTGTCGCGACCCATCCAACACAGGATAGAGATAGAGCGTGGCAGTAGAACTCCTAAGGGTGCAGTCTACAGGATGTCCCCTAGAGAGTTAGAGGAGCTTCGCAAACAGTTAGACGAGCTCCTTGAGAAAGGTTGGATCAGGCCCAGTTCGTCTCCTTTTGGAGCACCCGTTTTGTTTGTCCCCAAGAAGGAAGGAGAGCTGAGAATGTGTATAGACTATAGGGGATTAAATGCGATCACCGTAAAGAATGCTGAGCCGCTGCCCAGGATAGACGATCTTTTAGATCGGGTGCAGGGTTGCAAGTATTTCTCTTAGATAGACTTAAAATCCGGGTATCATCAGATAGAGGTCCATCCTGATGACCAGTACAAGACCGCGTTCCGGACGAGATACGGGCATTATGAGTTTATAGTGATGCCCTTTGGACTAACCAACGCGCCAGCTACTTTCCAGCGTTGTATGAATGACCTGTTTAGACCATGGTTAGATAAATTTGTAGTAGTCTACTTAGATGATATCCTAGTCTTTAGTAAGACCCTCCAGGAGGACCAGGGTCATCTGAGGCAGGTCTTGGAGAAGCTTAGAGAGGCTAACTTCAAGATCAACGCGAAGAAGTGCGAGTGGGCCAAGACGCAAGTCTTRTACTTGGGCCACGTGTTGGACGGAGATGGCATTAAGCCAGRGGACAGCAAGATYGCGGCGATYAGAGATTGGCCGACGCCCCGCACATTGACAGAGTTGCGGTCGTTCCTAGGCTTAGCTAACTAYTAGAGGAAGTTCGTAAGGAACTTCTCTACTATCGCCGCTCCCTTGCGCAGGTTGCTGAAGAAAGAGGCAATCTGGCAATGGGACAAAGACTGTACGTTTGCGCTCAAGAAGCTAAAGCGCGCTTTAATAGAATATCCTGTCCTCAAAGTTGCAGATCCGTCTTTGCCATTTGTCGTCACCACGGACGCGAGTCAGTATGGGATAGGCGCCGTGTTGCAGCAAGACGACGGCAATGGCTATAGACCCGTAGAGTTCATGTCAGCGAGGATGCCCTGTGAGAAGGTCGCTACCTCCACGTACGAGAGAGAACTCTACGCTCTCAGGCAGRCTTTAAACCATTGGAAGCATTACCTGCTTGGGAGGCACTTCAAAGTCTATTCGGACCATGAAACGCTTAGATGGCTAAAGACCCAGGCCAAGATGACACCTAAGTTGACTAGGTGGGCYGCAGAGATAGACCAATTCGACTTTGAGCTCAAGCCAGTGAAGGGCAAGTACAATGTAGTGGCGGATGCTCTAAGTAGGAGATCAGACTACTTTGGAGCCGTAGTACATTATCTGGATATAGGGAGAGACCTGCAGGAGACAGTGAAACAAGCGTATACGGAGGACCCTATCTATAACGACCTCCTAAAGAGAGTTAGAGAGACCCCAGAGACCGAACAAGATTACCGCACGACAGACGGATTGCTGTTTGAGAAGACTAATGTGTTTGACTGCCTGTGCGTTCCCAACAGCGAAGAGATTCGTAGTCTAATTCTAGGGGAATGTCACGATAC